CCTATCAGAACTCTAATATAAGCATGTAAGTGGTGTATAGAGCACTGGGTCATGATTTCCTAAGGTCAGATGGGTACCACTTTAGACCCCACCCATACCTTTATACACTCATAGGCGGATACGTCACTTGGTACACTGAGAGGTGTGAGAACGTGTGCACAATGAGCTTGGATATTTGAATTCTCAACGATAGCCATCGAATAATCAAAGTAACACAAATCACACATCTCGGTTCCATAGCATAACTTTGAAGTTGCTAAAGCTAAAATAACGCGGTTTGAAGATAATTGCGTGGATGGCCCTCGAGGCCCAGTTAATTTTTGCACATGGTGGAGCCTGAGAAGGGCCTTGTCAATTGTGCGTGCGACGAAGCCTCCGCATCAGGCATAGATTGCCACGCACATGATCAGGCCTGAGCGTGGACCTAGACGGTCACGCATGTGGTTGACCCCGAGTTGAGCCCAGGGGGTCATGCACATGGCGGAGCCTAATTAGGCTTGGTGATGCACTGCATGTGAATAAAACGCGTCCCTGTGCTAGGATTCATTTTTTTGTTTACTTTTTTAAAGGTATGTCAAAACAGGACACTTAATTCTTTACTCAACTAAGTTTATTTCAAAGAATTATGTTATGGATTTTTTTTTATGGCCAAATGGTAACCAGGTTTCAGGACTTGCAAAAAATAACAGCACATTTCTTATTTGATCCTATAATTGCATGTTTATTACGTAAATATAAATTTGGTCGTTCATGCACAATTGCATCTCACAACGCTGTACAAAGAGAAAAGTAATAAAAGAAAATACTTATGTTCACAAGACATATAGCACACCCAAACTAAGGTGAATTCATTTGTATGTATGTTGAACTTATTTTGCACCGTACATAGCTAACCATGCCAATCGGATGCACGATTCGGCCAAAGGGACTTAATTTGTAGAATATTGAGCGGGAGTGCATTCCACACCGTGTGGGATCTGCAGATGTGAAGGCACGCCCAAACCACTGTCTTTCATTTCAATTCTAGGTATAATGAGCAAGCAGCTCCATACTGGATGAGCGAAGTATCCTCCCTGGATGGAGTTTAGGCTGCAATGAGTTGAGATAGATAGGTCGGGGCAAGTCCATTCAAATATTTTGTACACCATCAGTGCAATCTTAAATTTGATTGGGAAAACAGATGGGGAGTCAATGAAGGGAACAATAAATCTGGGTGATGTGTTCACGTTTGCGGGTGCACGTTTGCACACATACAGCAGCATTTTGAACAAACTAAATCCATAGAATAAGAGATTTCAGAACCCGGTGTAGAGAATGGGAATATTGTATCATGTAGTGCTCTCTTATAAATAACTGGGGAAATTTACAAAATAGACATATTATCCTTGTTACCAATGACCAAATCTAAAGTGTTGCCCTTTAAATGTGTAAGAGACACAACAGATTGAATTAAGCCTAAAGATTCAAGTTTGATACATGAGAAACGGCTGTGTGATCTGAAGGATCATTAAGTTCAAAATAAAAATCACATGTGATAGAGCAGAAGACATGCGAATAGATGACACTAAGTCTGAAAAATCAGACAGAAAGCTGGCATTTGATAATGGACAATAAACCACAAAACGAGAAGATAGTTCAAGTGGTGAAAATGTTAACTCGACCTGGCAATAAACGCCACACCACCTCTTCGACTCGCAGAACGAGCACATTCAATGCAATGGTAACCTGGAGGAATTTAATCATGTAAATGAGCGAGATCTGATGAGGAATGCCAATTTTCTGTAAGGCATAAACGTATTAGTTCCGTTTTGAAGAAAATCATATATGATTAGTGACTTGTTAGTCAAGGACATAATATTTAAGAGGCCTCATATTAGTGAGATGGATACTGTTTGAGAGTGTATAGGCGTGATGGGAATTCTATGTTTTGACGACAAAGGATTCTGCGAGGTGGTAGATGGTGGCGGATAGCAGAAACCAACTGTATATGAGGGAGTGTGCCCTTTTGCCGGACAAGCCAAAAGAGCGGGAGGATTTCCTATGCATTGCTGATGGTCGAGGGAAACCTCGGTGTTTACCGGACCTCCACATTTATCACTAGACGTCAGGAGCCTTCGGTGGGCACCAAGGCGTGGTCCAAACAGTACAAACTGACATTGAGTGTGCTGGTATTGTGGACGACACCATGCTTAGAACCACTGTGTCAGGTGGTTTGTGCGGAATCCCATTCTCATTGCAGAGAATCTGTAGCCATGAATATTGCGAAACAAGAACCAGAGGTTGTAAGCTCCACAGGATGGAGGCTGAATATATATAAACATTGGAAACCAAACAATCTGATGATGGAACACTGGAGTCGTCCTCAACAGCAAGTAACAACGCAGAAGACAAGCATTGGTCGTAATTATATTAATATTTCATAGCGAAGATGTTACTGCAGTAGTTGAAAATGTGAATTTATTGTAGTTGGAGTAATTGTTTAAGTAATCATAGTCGATGAGTAAAATAGTAGTTTATGTTGATGATGTAGAATTTATAGATGTATAATGAAAGTAGATACAATAGCTGGAGCTGTTGTTGTAGTTATTGGAATTGTTTCAGTATATATAAGATAACTGTAGTATTGTTGCAGTACTTGAATTATAGTGTTCGTAGTTATGGGAAAAAATGGGAATTCGAACAGTTGTCCAGAATTGTTGCTGGAGATATAAAAAAAAAATAGTTGCTTGAAATTTAATATCACCCCACTCGAGGGGGAATCAAAACATCTTACAATTTCAAAGATAAAATCGGGTACACATTTGGAATGCTAAAATACACTCAAGAGAAAGCAATGAGGACCTAGTGTGTTTTGCATTCCCACTTCAACAAACGGAGGCTCGGGAGGTCACCGGACCACGACCCGCAAGGCATTACAAATTCCGAGTGGCACTGGAGAAGGCCCGGCCACCCCATGTCAGGTGTAGGATCCGTGGCTTGGAGTGGGCCCTGCTCTGAAGATCGCGGCACATATACCCCAGTCGCATAGGGAACTAATCGGTCCCGCTGGTACGTGGGTCCAGAGCTGTATATGTCAACATATCCAGCTTATATTTGATACGAAAGCTTACTGGAAGCCAGTGCATATCATGGAGAGTGGGATTAATGTGCACGAAGCGGGCTGCGAGCCGCCGCATTCTGCACAAGCTAAAGCTTCTGCACGAGGACGCGTGGAAGCTCTGCATCGACAGAGGTCATTTCCATAGTCAAGAATTGTCGACACAAAGCCATGGGTAATTGGTTTGAGGTAGAGCTAATAGGAGATGGCGCAAACCAAGGCGTTGGTGAATCTGCAAAAATCCAGATGTGAACACAGCAACCATCACCTACCTCCACACGCATGTTCAGACTGTAGTCAAATCAAACCCCCTAGGTTACATACTTTGGGCAAGATGTGAAGCCGGACCGCGTTAATAATCAGAAGTTCGACCTCACCCCTGGCCCAACGTGAATCTAGGATCAGAGACCACAATTATTACCTCTGACTTGTTAGGATTTAACTTTAGGCAGTGCTGCTCCGGCCAAACAGCTAACCTTGAACAGACGATGCAGAGAGACACGACTCAGGTGTGTGGGTAAATGAGGCATAGATCTGCGTGTCATCAGCACATTGATGTCAGCGCAGGCCACGCCTCCGGATGATGATCCCCTGCAGGTGAACTTAACTCGTTGAAAAGCAGTGTTAACGACTGACCCCATGGGCACCCTTCGTGGCCTACCTGAATTTGACAAAAACAAAGGCGATCCACTTCCAGGCTGATCCGCCAATTGCTGCCAGGGCCTGTAGGCGGTGTAGCAGAACTTCAAGATCAAGGGGAAGATTTTAAAAAAAAGTTATTTGTATCTTATTCTTTCGTATGCCATGTAAGCAGCAATTTGTATATATGTCATAGCTGAATTGTATGGTCCTTCAACCAATCCAAGGCCACGGTAGATGCTGTACGGATTGTATAGATGATGTCATAGTTGAATGTTAAGGTCCTTCAACCAGTCCAAGGCGGCAGTAGATGCTGTACAGATTTATAGATTACGTCATAGTTGAATGTTAAGGCCCTTCAACCAGTCCAAGGCGGCAGTAGATGCTGTACGGATTGCAGCGATACCTCCAGTGTGTGCGTGGAATGGCGCACTCGTCGGTGATGCGTTTGATGGTTTGGGCTTTACTAGTCACAGATTGGTGAATCTTTGATTTTCCATATATGGAACACTTTGTACAAACGTACAATCTCTCGTGCTGCGTCCGAGCGCGGCTCAGTGAGGTCCACAACCGTCATGAGAGAGAGAATCCCGGCATCTTCACAGCCCACCCTTCAGACCATCGTGATTTGTATGAGATACGGAATCTGGTTATATTCACAAATTAGCTTCCCTCTTTAAAAAAAAACATGCTTGGGAATTACAGGGTTAAATCCATGGAAACTGTTGGTCATGGCTTCTGGGTGAAAACACGTTTAGGTCCACTGAAATAGATCACGGTGCTTCGTGTATTGTCTACCACTGCAATAAACCGGAGTTTATGGGGCTGATATGAAGCCCTCAAGAGTCTCAATTAGGCGACCCAAACATCGCGACTAAGCCACACTCTCAGGAGAAGGCAGACAAGGCCGCACTCGCGGATATGGGTCATGGATATGGTCACTCCCTGGCGGGTGATGCATGTCGTCATTTAAATTACAGCCGTTTTAATTAACGAACCTGTGGAGCATATGCAATATGGACTAATGAAGCACACATGCAAAAGCTCAAATTAATACGCAGGGGAGGGCGGGCAAAAGTAATGAATGATGGAATGTTAAGTGACAACTACTGTATATTCTTCCGTTACAGAGGCTTACATACTTGGTGCCCACAGTAAAACACAGTGCCTGTGACTTGACTTTACAATGTATAAAAAGAGACTATACATACATCCTTTAATATAAGGACAAAATAAACTTATTCTGTTAAATTATACACATAATTATTATATATGTGCCATATAGAGCACTATTATGGCTTCTTAAAATACTTTGTAAAGAATTAAGTTGAAACTTTTTCAAAATAACTAAAACATCACCCAATTGCTTCTAATGCGGGTCACCCCCCAACCCGAGGTGTACATATCACATTACGAGCTAACATTCACTCAAAAAGACTCCTCAGGGCAATGGGTAAATCCGCAGGGTGCTGCAGCACGCACCAGGCAGCGCGGAACCTCCCATCGCGCCTGAAGGCTCACGGTCACGTGGTCCCCAAAACGCATATAAATCAGCAGATTCCACGAGCATCACTGATCTGCTCTCAGTTCAAGCAACCGAAAGCAAGGTGAGTGATATATTTTTGTGCCATTCTTCATCACTGTTGTTTATATCATTGGTGAGCATTTTTACACGTTTTCACGAGTCATATATATTTATTAATTCATCTTTTGTGACCTCAAAAATACTTAAATGATAATTACGTCTCGTGTTGTAGATGCAGTAGCAGAAGCAAGGCATTGATGGAGAACAGAAGCTCCGTGCTCTACCTCGCCACATTTGAGGCCCCGTACCCTGTGCAGGTGCTCATATTCAGCCTGTGCCTTGCGATGTACCTAACTATAATTGCAGCCAACATGCTGGTGATTTTGATGGTGGCAGTGTCCACAGACTTACACAAGCCCATGCACATATTTCTGTGCAATCTTGCGATTGGCGACATCATTGGCAGCACAAGTGGCTTTCCCAAACAGCTGCACATCCTCCTGACGGGCAACAGAGAGATCCTGTACGTGTCATGTGTCGCACAGATGTTCACAGATCACATATTCATCCTAAATGAGGTGTTTACATTGGCTGTTATGTCTGTTGATCGCTACCTGGCCATCTGCTACCCATTGCACTACCACACCAAGGTTACTGCAAAGAGATCCATTTTCACGGCATTACTATCCTGGCTGATTGCAATGGGTACAGTCAGCGTTCAAGTGATCATCATCCTTCAAGTTAAATTGAAGGAAAATGACAGACAAATCCAGGGTATAGCATGCGACAATATGGGAATATCAAAGTTAGCCGTCGGTGACGCGAGCAAAGTAGAATCTTACGGAATATCAATTATCGTGATGTGCATTGGCGTTCCTCTCTGTGTCATTGCGTACACCTACGTTCGGATTATTGTCGTGTGCAAGCGCTCGAGTTCCTCCGAGTTCAGGACAAAGGCTCTGTACACATTTGGCACGCATTTCATGGCACTTGCCATCCTTTTCACGTCCATATTTCTAAACGTCCTCGTGCCGCGCTTTGTGAAGGATGAGAACAATGAAGGCACGCGAAACCTGAGATCCGTCATCCAGTTGGTGTTCTTTCTCATCCCCGCTGCGAACGTGCTCATTTACTGCGTGCGCATGAGTGAGCTGAGGATCGCAATTGATAAGCGCTTCAAGAAGATCTCGCGTAAGATGCATTTCTGTCCGACGATGAAAGTTCATGTTTTCGGTCGCGGTTGAATCATGTCTCAGGCCAAGTACAGAAGTCCCAATTTTTGTTCACGTAGCGAGTACAAACTTGTATTAGCACTACCGAGTGCACATTTGATGGCACAACGTACACCATGGTACCTAGGTGTTACATTTTATAGCATACGAATTTGTGCTTGCTGTGCAGTTAAAAGTATCCACTGTTGAGTAAGAGACCTTCATATCCGTGAAGCTGGATATAACATGTTGACTTAAAGCTTTCGTGACTGCAGGAATTCATACTCTTTGGGTCCGTCGGTAAAGTCACGTAGATATATATATATTTTTTAATCACGACGTTTCGATCGCAACACAAGCAATCGTCTTCAGGTGAAAAAATACAGCAGGCGGACTGCTGAAGACGATTGCTTGTGTTGCGATCGAAACGTCGTGAGTTTTATTATTATTTTTCTATCTACGTGACTTTACCGAAAGACCCAAACAGTATGGCTTAAACATATTTAATTACAGCAATTAAATTGTTACGTAGCGTTAATGGTAATGCATTCATCAGGTAATAAATGGTAATATTTCCAGGACCACTTTCCTTGCTCAACGACGTAAACGAAATGAAGCCCCTGACCAAATCACGCGCAATGTGCCCATTCTGGTCATGTCTCAGAAGCTCGGCCGGGTTGAGCTGGATGGTGCTTGGGTGGGCAAACCCGCCTTGCATATATGAAACTCGTGTTGTAGAATGTTGTGGAGGTACACTGTGAGCAGAGGGCAGTCCAGAAAAAAAACACATTGTTTTACTGCACTTCTATGCTCGCCTTTCCACCAATTGACACTGACCACCAGGCTGGCTACGTACGGTGCGAAAGAAGTACAACGTACACGGGTACAAGGGTCGACAACATGCTGCTCTTTAAGGGCTGCTGCTTCGAGACGTGATTTAAGGACCACCGTCTCGTATTAACATGCAGTGCGGCTCTTGAATTAGTTTTTTTTTCTTCCGAATTAGAAAAAAAATGTCTCTTGTTATTTTGTTTTGCTTAGTGGGTTCCTCAGCCAGCAGTGGATTGACAAATGGGCTGTACATACACCATAATGCATACATTTGGTACATTGCTGAATTTTATTCAATTCATTAAAACTATTTCTCCATACAAACATGAGTCCTTTTCTTACATGAGCATCTCCTTGTGAGTTTAATGTTACGTATACGTTGTTTCCATCGTTGAACACAGCTCAGACAGTCCTTGACTTACAAACACCCGTACTTACGAATCCAGCTTCCATGAAATAGAAAATATATAATTGACTTAAAACGCGAACTCGCACATGCAAACTGAACCGTGGAACAATTTTATTCAGACGAGTGATCACCCGCAAGATGTGATGAGTCGGCCTCGAGTTGGAAGTGAGCGTTTTTGTGCGTGTGTGCACACGTTTGTGTGTGTGCGAACACGTTTGTGTGTGTGCGCGCGCACGTTTGTGTGTGTGTGTCTGCGCGCACACGTTTGTGTGTGCGTGCGAGCGCACGTTTGTGTGTGTGTGTGCGTGCACACGTTTGTGTGTGTGCGTGCGCGCACATGTTTGTGTGTGCGTGCGCGCACGCACGTGTGTGTGTGCGTGCACGCGCGCACGTTAGCGTGTGTGCGTGCGCGCACACGTTTGCGTGTGTGCGTATGCGCACACGTTTGTGTGTGTGCGTGCGCGCGCACGTTTGTGTGTGTGCGTGCGCGCGCACGTTTGTGTGTGTGCGTGCGCGCGCACGTTTGTGTGTGTGCGTGCGCGCGCACGTTTGTGTGTGTGCGTGCGCGCGCACGTTTGTGTGTGTGCGTGCGCGCGCACGTTAGTGTGTGTGCGTGCGCGCGCACGTTTGTGTGTGTGCGTGCGCGCGCACGTTTGTGTGTGTGCGTGCGCGCGCACGTTAGTGTGTGTGCGTGCGCGCGCACGTTCGTGTGCGTGCGTGTGTGGTGGGCTACGAAAGCGGCGATCCGAGTTTGAGTCTTGGTCACGGCCAACCCCAGTGACGATTATCTGAACCGGTGCTGAACCTATCTAGTTGGACTCAGCCTCAAATGAGTACCTAGTACGGTGTGTAAACTGCCTCTGGGGAGACAAAGGCAGTCGGGCGTGGCGTTGGCCACTTACCCCCTCATATGCCGTTTCGGCCCTCATAGGCACTGCTCGCTAACAGCACTTGCCCCAAGTTTGTTAAGGCCACACGGGAGATCGTTGTCGTTGGGGTGTGTGTGTGTCTTTGTGTGAGTGCGTGCATGCACGCGTGCTCGCACGCGTGCTCTCGTCTGTGTGTCTGTGTGTGCGTGTGTGCAATTGTGGCAACTCATTGCCCACCTTCTGACAAGCAAGCTAGCATCAGCACTCAAGATAAGTGAAACAAAATCTGTTTATGTTACTTTATTTTGTTTTACGTGCAATACAGTATTTTTTTACAGCGTTACATGCAAATGAAGCAATCGCCGGGACCCCGGGTTCCCATCACTTCCCCGGGGTGGGAAAAACCGCGTGGCTACACGAGTCTTGTCGCCTTACCGACAACAAAACTAGCGTCAATCGATTGGCCTCGTCGAGAGCTACTCGGGGCGCTAAGTTTCGTAAAAAGTTGAAAAATTACATAAACACGTTAAATTCACTGCCTGGGGGGCGGCGGTACTCGCCTTGGCAAAGAAGCTGAGGATCGACGGCTGACCGGAGCGCGGCGACTGCGGCGGACGCCCCCCGGGGCTTGCGTTTGGCCGGTGGGGTGGCGCCCGTCGTGTTGATCGCCGCCTGCTGCTGCTGGCGCTTGTTGTTGGCGCGAGTCTGGGCGGGTGGCGCGTTGCTGTCGGGATCACGCGTGGGCGGACTGAAAAATAATAATTATTGACCTGATTTTTGCGGGACCCCGGGGTCCCGCCAAATGATTCAAATGTACAATATGTATTCTTAATTATGAGCTTAACAATGCTTCCCTTTTTGTTGAACCATAACATATTTCATAACACCGACCGTGTGGGCATTTAAATACCGTGCATCGTTGTGTTCCGACTTATGATCCGTTCGTCTTACGAACGGATCTCAGGAACGAATTGTGTTCGTAAGACGAGGACTGCCTGCACCGTGCGTTATTAAGTGCAGTTGCATTAAATATCATAGCTACCACGGACGGGTGAAGTGGCGTTCAGTGGTCGCGTTCTGGTCCATACCATTTCACACAGGACAAGGTGGACTGCATTATTTTAATTTATTTCCAATTAATGTAAGTTCAGTCGCGATTATATATTTTGTCTGTTTTGTTAATTGCAAATGGAATATACGTAGGGTCGTTATTTCATGATGAATTAGAATAAAATGTTTCACTGTGATTTGTTCATTGCTAATTAAAGATACGTAGGGTCATTATTTCATGATGAATTTGAATAAAATGGGTTTGTTTCACTGTGTTTTGTTCATTGCAAATGAAACATACGTAGGGTAATTATTTCATGATGAATTAGAATGAAATGGGTATGTTTCACTGTGTTTTGTTCATGATGAATTAGAATAAAATGTTTCACTGTGTTTTGTTCATGATGAATTAGAATAAAATGGGTATGTATCACTGTGTTTTGTTCATGATGAATTAGAATACAATGGGTATGTTTCACTGTTTTGTTCATGATGAATTAGAATACAATGGGTATGTTTCACTGTGTTTTCATGATTAATTAGAATAAAATGGGTATGTATCACTGTGTTTTGTTCATGATGAATTAGAATACAATGGGTATGTATCACTGTGTTTTGTTCATGATGAATTAGAATACAATGGGTATGTATCACTCTGTTTTGTTCATGATGAATTAGAATACAATGGGTATGTTTCACTATGTTTTGTTCATGATGTATTAGAATAAAATGTTTCACTGTGTTTTGTTCATGATTAATTAGAATAAAATGTTTCACTGTTTTGTTCATGATGAATTAGAATAAAATGTTTCACTGTTTTATTCATGATGAATTAGAATAAAACTGTTTTGTTCATGATGAATTAGAATAAAATGTTTCAGTGTGTTTTGTTCATGATGAATTAGAATAAAATGTTTCACTGTGTTTTGTTCATGATGAATTAGAATACAATGGGTATGTTTCACTGTGTTTTCATGATTAATTAGAATTCAATGGGTATGTTTCACTGTGTTTTCATGATTAATTAGAATTCAATGGGTATGTTTCACTGTGTTTTGTTCATGATGAATTAGAATACAATGGGTACGTTTCACTGTGTTTTGTTCATGATGAATTAGAATACAATGGGTACGTTTCACTGTGTTTTGTTCATGATGAATTAGAATACAATGGATATTTTTCACTGTGTTTTGTTCATGATGAATTAGAATACAATGGGTATGTTTCACTGTGTTTTGTTCATGATGAATTAGAATACAATGGATATGTTTCACTGTGTTTTATTCATCATTAATTAGAATAAAATGTTTCACTGTTTTGTTCTGCGAGCCACCACAACAGCTCTTGCGAGCCACCAGTGGAGTCGCGACCCGCAGTTTGAGAACCACTGCATTACAGTGTCTGCAGTGGGTAACACTCATTCCTCACAGCAAGGAGTGTCTAGGTTAAATTCCCGACTCGGGCACCTTTCTGTGTGCAGTCTGTAAGTTCCCCCCCTGTTCTGCGTGGGTTTTCCAAGAGTTCTCCGGTTTCCTAGCAACAAAAACACAAACTGCAACTGGTATCGGACAAACATCTAAATGTAAAAAGCAAAACAATGCATGCAAATAACCAAATTGGCATGAACACAGAAACATTGTCCCGACTGTGAAAGCTTGTCAGGATTCTCCTAAAAAGGAGTCTTGAGACCTAGTGAGGCTATCTCGGGTAAACGAGCAGATTAACAATAAAAAATCGATGTATTGAGCCCAGAGGAAGCACTCAGACACTGCCCCCATTAAGCGTGGGGGTGGCGGTCAAACACAGCACGGGGAGACGGCAGCCCCTTGAGACCCTGGGACAGGCTGTCTGTGTCTCATCCAAATCCCTGATCATCGTGAGTCAAGTTTGGACAAGAGGCAACTGAAGAGGTTTGTCCAGCACCACCGCTGGAAAATATTAATCATGCAGAACTCTTGTAATAAAATGTCGATTTTTTTAAATGTTTAATCTTCTATGTAATTGTCGAGCCCCAAGTGTACACTGTGTCTATGCATCTCGGTTGCCCTGCTGTCGTCAAAACGTCTCCGCAGTTTAAATACACTAACTGCTGCCGTCCGTGTTGTATGATTGGTCAGCTGGGAATGAGACTGCCAACACTTTTGACTCATCAATGTGCACCATGGTTTGTAAATTCATTTTAACACCATCATGAACAAAAATAAACATGTAATGACCACATCACTGCGTTCTTTGTCGATATTCTGGAGAGGTTCGTACATTTTGGAGGGAGGGGGGACAGGGAATAAACAGGAAAATCCTAGGTGTCATAACTTATCGGGGCCACTAAATATCTCCAAACATCAAATTGATGTCATATTTTTACTGGAAAAATCTACATTTATGTATTGTTAACCTTGTATATTTGGAATTGTTGAGTCCTCAACAGGTGAACTCAATGCCGTGATTTCCCAAGCAACCTCGAGAAAAAGACTCTGTATGTTCTTCAACTGTTCTGGCCTCGCATATCAATGTGCCCAGGTGTTCAAATTAAGCTGCCTTGTGTATCAAGTTTGGCCTTGTTTTGACAGCCGCTTGCCCGTGTTCAGGTGTTGAGGTTAATTACAGCCCATAAACCAACGTTTTTAGGCTGTTATTAACCCCTCCATCCGAGTCTTCATTAAGCGACCCACATCATGGCAAGTTACCTCCTCCCCTAGCTCACCTCATCAGCCCCTCCCCCTACATAAAATCCACGATGACTTCGCTTTCATCATTTTCCCGGCAAATTCTATGCAGAACTCTCTTCCACCATCTCTAAGGCTCATCCTCACTTCCTCTCCCCTCGACCCCATTCCTGCTTCCCGTCTCTCCCGACTACTTCTCCCCTATCGAGTGCCCCTGTTTAATTACTTCTCCTCTGGTTTCTTTCCCGTTGTATATAATCCAGCCATTATTGTTCCCCTCCGCAAAAAAAATCTTCTCTCGATACTTCTGGCAATTTCTCCAAACTCTTAGAACTCCTGGTACATTCTCGTCTTACCCACTACATCTCCTCTAACTCCATCCACCGTCAATTCCAATCTGGTTTTCGTCCCTTTCATCAACTGAAATGTCCCTTATTTCAGTTCAGAATCACCTGGCTCACTCTGCTCGTGCTGGTCTCTCTTCCATTCCGATACTCCGCGATCTGTCCTCAGCTTTTGACACGGTTGATCATCCTCCTCTTCTCTCTACTCGCTCTTCTCTTGGCATTTCCGATGCGCCACTTTCCTGGCTAAAGTTGTGTCTCTCTCTCTGCGCACCTCTGCGGTCTCATTCAATCATTGCCACTTCGTCCCCCCAGGCCCCTTCACTGTTGGTGTTCCCCAAAGGTCAGTTCACGGTCCCCTACGTTTCTCTCTCTATATTTCAGCACTCGAATCTCTCCTTACTTCGATTAACTTTTCCCATCATTTCTTCACGGATGACATCGTCATTTACTTCTCCTTTCCATTCCTTTTCCCCATGACCTCGCTTCCAGCGTCTCATCCTGCGTGGTCTCCATCCAATCCTGGATGTCACGTCACTTTCTGTCCATTAACCCTTCCAACACCCAAATTGTATTTTTCCCTGCCTCCCGTTCCCCTCCTCCCTGTCCCACCATATCTTTCCCTCCGTTATCTATTTCCCTTGTTTCTTCAGCCCGCAACCTTGGTGTTATATTTAACTTCCCTGCCACCACCCGCACTTGCCGGTTTCACTTGTTCATTCACAAAATCCGACCACTTATTTCAACCTCCGCTGTATAAGTCCTCATACATTCCGCTACCTTAACTCGTCTGGACTGCTGTCACTCTTTTATAACTTGCTCTTCCCTTTTACGCCCCCCCCCCCCCCCGCCTTCAACAAATCAAGAAACCCCTCTGTACGTATCATATTCAGCCTTCTCTACAATTCTAATACCTCGACTTTCATCGCTCAACTGCATTGGCTCCCCGTGTATCATTGTTGCCTGTTCAAATTCTTCATGATCTTGCCGCCACCTTATCTTGCCACTCTTGCATCCTCCTTCTCCGTCCCTTCTCGCCCTCTACATTATCAACCTTTGCCGTCTCTCTCTCTCTCTCTGTTCCTTCTCACCTTTGCGCTCAATCACGCGTTCGCTCTTTCTCTCCTCTTGCCCACCCTTCGCTTCAACAAACTCCCCCCTCCACATTAAGCAGTCACATTCGCTAATCAATTTCTGCTCCTTCCTCAAAACTCACTTTCTTTCCCTAGCTCATCACACAGCCCCTTAACCCGCTTCTTCTAACGACTACGGTTCCTTCTTCATAATCTCTCTTCCTGGCCCCCACTCATTCCCCATCCATCCAAGCCATTCATCATCATTTGCTCCCGTATTTTTTTACTTCATTCACGCATCACTATTACTCATCATCGATTGTATTCACCTCATCTTCACCAGTACATGTGCAGCGCATTGGTCAGTGTGCTATATAAATTAGGTTGAGAAAAGATAAGCGACGCTCTCAGGAGAGGCCAGGCTCGTGAAGATGGGTCACTAGAACGGTGATCCCCACGGGCACAGCCCGAAATGTCGGCGTTGACATTACGGCAGTTAATGGGTTAATTAGTGAGCCTGTTGAGCAATAACATCCCCCACTAGGAAGGCGTATGGACTAATTAGTATACAGGTAAGACCTCAAATTGATACCCAGGGGTAATAGTAATAAATGATGGAATTCTAAGTGACATCTCATTTTATTATGTTATGGAGAATTGCATCCTTGATTCCTCCAGTAAAACTACATAGTAAATGTGAATTGACTATCCAGTACCAGTATTTAACCCCACTAAACATAATAAACAAAGAGTTGTACATGTATTAATACACAAACAAAATGAACTTATACTGTTAGATTATACGAAGTATTTTTTTTACATGTGAGCCATATCCTGTATAACTCGCTTCTTAAAACATTTTTTAAAAATAAGTTGAAGCATTTTAAAAACAATTATAAATGTAAAAATAAATACTGGAAACATGACCTAATTGCTTCTAATGCCGTGACCTCCCAACCCAAAGTGTACACGTTACATTACGAGCTCATCTGGACTCAAAAGGACTCCTCAGGGCAATGGGTAAATCCGCAGGGCGCTGCAGCACGCACCAGGCACCTCCCATCGCGCCTGAAGGCTCACGGTCACGTGGTCCCAAAAACGCATATAAATCAGCAGATTCCACGAGCATCACTGATCTGCTCTCAGTTCAAGCAACCGAAAACAAGGTGAGTTCTGTTACGTTGTTTTGCCATTGTTCATCATTGTTATTGTACATATTATGAGTGTGCATTTGTAAAAAGAAAATCAAGAGGCTTTGAAAATGTAAACAATTCACATTTTGTGACATCAACAGGGACTGCGTGATAAGGTGTCGGGCTGTAGACGCAGGAGCCCAAGGAACGCAATTATGGACAACAGAAGCTCCGTCCTCCACCTCGCCACATTTGAAGCCCCGTACCCTGTGCTGGTGCTCATATTCAGCCTGTGCCTTGCGATGTACCTAACTATGACCGCAGCTAATCTGCTGGTGCTTTTGATGGTGGCAGTGTCCACAGACTTGCACAAGCCCATGCACATATTTCTGTGCAATCTTGCAATTGGCGACATCATTATCAGCACAGGTGGCTTGCCCAAGCAGCTGCAGGTCCTCCTGACGGGCAACAGAGAGATCCTGTACGTGTCATGTGTCGCACAGATGTTCACAATTCACATATCTGCCCTGAATGAGATTTTTACATTGGCTATGATGTCTGTTGATCGCTACCTGGCCATCTGCTACCCATTGCAGTACCACACCAAGGTTACTGCAAAGAGATCTATTTTACTGTCATTACTGTCCTGGCTGATTGGAATCGTATCAGTCAGCATTCAAATTATCCTTCTCCTTTCACTTCAACTAAGCGAAAAAAACAGGCAAATCCAGGGCATAGTTTGTGATAATATGGGAATATTTAAGTTAGCCGTTGGTGACACGAGCCAAATGGATGCGTACTTGACGTCAAAGGTCGTCGTATTCGTTGTCTCTCCTTTCTGTGTAATTGTGTACACCTACGTTCGGATTCTTGTCGAGTGCAAGAACTCGAGCTCCTCCGAGTTCAGGGGCAAAGCCCTGCACACATTCGGCACGCATTTCATGGCGCTCGCCGTCTTTTTCACGGCGCTTTTCTTGGACATCCTTTTGCTGCGCTTTGTGAAGGATGTGGACAGCGAGGGCGCGAGAAACTTGAGATCCGCCGCTCAGTTGGTGTTCTTGCTCAGCCCGCTTGCGAACGTGCTCATTTACTGCCTCCGCACGACTGAGCTGAGACTCACAATTAGTAAGCACTTCAAGAAGATCTCGCGTAAGGTGCATTTCTGTCCAAAAATCAAAGTTCACGGTTTAGGTTGTGGTTTGAATTATGCTTAACAGAAAAGTCAAATCTTCATGCAAGGGATACAAACGTTCATTTCGTCTACTTAATGTACAATTTATGTACGCTATGGTTCCTCGGTATCACGTTTTATAACAAGGCGTTGTTTTGGTTGTGCAGTTATATACAGGTCTCCATTGCTGAACGGATAACTCTATATTCAATGAGCTGGATATATCCAATGATGAAGTTATAAATAAAATTATTCATTACATCAATGTTACTTCGAGGTAATGATTTTGCTTTCTTCAGGTAATATGGAAATATTTAGTTTGGAATTAATTTCCTGCTTAATGACATCAAAACAATTAAGCCCTATTACCAAATCACTCGGAATATTATTATTATCATCTCAGACCCTGTGCCTGGCTTAGCCTGGATAGTTCTTGGGTTTGCAACCATCTTGTACGAAACTCAAATTTGTCGGCTGTTGTGGAGGTACATTGTCATTAGAGGGCAGTGCAGCGAAAACCATTGTCCTGCACTCCGATGTTCCAATGTCTGTTTAAAACGTAGGATTTCGTGACCACTATATGTATAATACAGGTATTTTATGGGTTAGATCACGTAAATATATAAATGTGTCCTTAAACCCGCCACCACCCGACACAGACAATTAGTAAGCTTTGGCAGGTAAACAGAACGTGCCAATTCGTTCCGAGTACAGCACATTTCTGTGTTGGAGAGCCAAGCCACAACATTTACAATCTGAGTACGACGTTTCGCCAGTAATTACAACTAGCTTCATCAGGAAACAGTCAGATTTGTGAAGCCCACCTGTTTCGTTCTTTAAAAAGAGGCCTAGATGTGATTCTAACACTGCCTGCTACCAACCACCAACCCACACTAACCAGCCTGGTCAAGCATGGTCAACCCATTCAACGTAAGGGTCTCTCAGCCAGCAGTGGGTTGGCAAGCATAAATATATTCAGGAGACCCTTGAATATCGCGGGGAGTTACGTTGTTGGAAACTGCGGCGAAAGCCAAAACCGCGAAATGCTAGACGGAAGCCTTACCTAAATAATTGGGTTAGGTACACGGTGACCAAAAACAGACATCACAATTGAAATAAATACTGTGCTCTATGCCATATAAATTTAATAATGGAAATAAATATGTAAAAACTCTATTGAAAAACATTCCTAGACAATAACCAGGTGTATAAATACTGTACCTACCGATGGTGATTATCCAAAGCCGGTGTGTTTGTCCGCGAGTGGACAGCGGTGGTGCCGCAGTTAGCGCTATGCTCCGCTACGACTCTAGACGACCCGAGTTCGATTCCCGCTCACGCCGAACACCGGTGACGATTATCTGAACCGGTCCCGGGCCTCCCCTAGGTCGACTTAGCCTCAAATGAGTACCCGGTAGGGATGAACGATTAATCGATTTCAAATCGAAATCACAATTTGAAATATTGCGATCAACAACTTGCAAAGGCTGCGATTTTTTGCGATTTGAAAAGTCCTATTACTTTCTTATTGGAATTGTTTAATTTGTTATTGTTATAACTTTATTTATTTAACTTAACAATTGTTACTCTTTGTTTTTTTCGGTAAAGTCATTTATTTTATTTGACCTACGTGACTTTACCGAAAAAAACAGAGTATGAATCCTTGCAGTCACGAAAGCTTCAAATCTAGAATTAACAATTGTTCTATGTTTGATTGTTCTATTTCAATTAAAACATTTTAATAAATACATGTTGGAAGTAAATCATATGTTTAAAGTTGTCATAGTTGCATTAGAATGTATAGAACAGTTCATATTTTGATGGTATCATGTGGTAATGCTCCATCACATGCTTGAAATCTATTACACAGTGAATATTGAACTGAAGCTTGACTTAATAAAAAAAAATCTCAAATAAAATCGCAATCGCAATATCTGTCAGAAAAATCTCAATTAGATATTTTCCCCAAAGCGTTCAGCTCTAGTATCCTGTGCTATGTGTAAACATCTCCCCAGCGGGGAGACAAAGGCGGTCGGGCGTGGTGCTGGCCACCCACCCCCTTGTGTGCCGTGCCGGCCTTCATTCGGTGCTCCTCGTTAACAGCACTTGCCCCAGCGGTCTGTTAAGTCTACACGGGGGATCTTTGTCTCCATTCCCCTCCCCCAATCCCCCTCCCGCATTTCCTTCCCCCACCCCCAATTATTCCCCCATCCATTGCCCCCCCCACCCTCCATACCCCTATCCCCCCCGCCCATGTCCCCCCCCCACCACCTATTCCCCCCCACCCCATGCCCCCCCCCCATTCCCCACACCGCTCTCCACCTCGTTCCCCACCCCATTGCTTCCTCATCCCCGACCCCCAACAATCCACGCCCCCATCCATTCCCTCCCCCTTCCCATCTATCCCCTCCCCCCGACACGATGCCAGGACACAATGACCGACTCTGATTAATCTTTTTGTTTGCCGTTCCATAAAAAAGGTACAGTGCCACTGCTATTGGCTAAACATCCGAATGTAAAAAAAAACATTATATGCAAATGGCTAAGCTGGCATGGACCTGACAACACCGTCCCCGACTGCGATAGCTTGTCAGGATTCTCCTAAAATGGTGCATTGAGACGAGGTGAGTCCATCGCGGAGTAAACGACGTTAACGATAAAAAAAATTGTGGACCCAGAGGATGCACCCAGACATTGTCCTCATTAAGCGTGGGGATGGCGACCATGGCCAGACACAGTACGGGCAGACGGCAGTCCCTTGAGACCCTAGGACCGGCTGTCCGTGTCTCATCCCAATCCCCAATCCTGGCGAGTCAAGTTTGGACAAGGGACAACTGAAGAGGCTCGTCCAGCACCACCGTCGGTATATATATTATTCTTCCAAAACTCGTTAGAAAATATCAAAATTACTTGTTTTATTCTCTATGTATTTGTTTAACCTCTCTCATTGCAATGTAGTGCACATGCAGCCGGTGAGAGCTTCCCTGTAATGACTCGCACGTATAATTGTGTACTCTGCTACGTGTTGCTGTAATTGCTACGGAGAGCGAGGTGTGTTTTTTTTTCTCATTAGTATAGGCAATGACGATCAGAGAAAGGACCCCAAGCAGTAGGTGCACAGCAGGCCACGTCCAGCAGTGTGTAGACTATTCTGAGAACGGGGCACACAACCAGTTCAGATTTGGGGTGAACTGCGTGCTGGTGGGATTACATGAGCTCTAATAAAATATTAAATGTAACTTAAATTAATATAACTTCAATGGTAATCGACTGACAGGAACTCGGCTATGTTAAATGACTGTTTATTGAGTTATTGGTGGTGATAAAATTATTCACAAGACTTTGATATTAAAATGTATTTCAATGTATAAAATGCTCAATTGGGGCTGGAATATGATTGACACTGATGTTCAATCCCATCAACAGAGGGACTGAGCTGAGGTGTTGTGTGACGTGGGGGGGTGATCGGGGTGTAACTGGTCATAATTGCAAGTTGTGAGCTGTACAATTATTATCAGTGCCCTATCTTATCACAGACCAATTCAGACCTTATTGGTCACCCCGTGCCCCTTTCAATCTCAACGTTCATCCGACAAAGTCCCATCACAAGGGATAAACACAAACAAATATATTTTTGTGCCCCTATTGAAACGGCTGTACGCCGTATGGACCTGGAAACGTTATTTCTCTGTACAAGAATACGGGGTAAATAGTATGGGTTGGCTGCTATGTTACAGTGGATTGTTTCCCTTTTTATTTTTTTGCGAGGGAAATTTAATACGATAGCGTCGCCCTAGTGGTGACAGCTATTTATTTTCACTAATTTTGGTAAATCCCAATCGAATCAATAGACGTAACGGAGTTGAAAGATGATTATAGTGTTTTAGTGATAGTCATGATTTCAAGTTGTGAGCTCTACACTTTCTGAGTTCCGATGTTATTGTTTGACTTTTTTTTTGGGCGGGATATAACTTGGTTATTTTTACCAATCCAACTCGATTCTATAGACGTCACGGAGTTGAGAGATGATTAGAGTGTTTTAGTGATGGATTTTTTTTTGTGATAATTGATCACATTTGATGTTATTTTGATGTTCATTTGGAATGCACACGATGGCTCATGGGATCCGCAAAATATGTGTTTTGGCAGAGGTTACATTCCCGATTGGGATATAAGATATAATAATTGTTTATATGTTCATTGTCAGTAAAATGTGATTTTCCTAATCGACATATTCATGTATTTAGATTTTTTAAAAATGCTTTCTTATTAATTATATAAGTACGCAATGTGTCGTTTATGCAGTATTATCAGACGTTTGATGTTAACTATTAAAATGTTTCTTGTTAAATGTTTGTTAAATAATGTACGTCAAATGTTCAAAGATATGATAAGCGGTTGTTGTCATCATTGAGATTTGGGTGGGTTCCGTGCTGAGGGACAGAGCTGAGGTTTTGTGTGACGTGGAAGGTGATAGGTTGTGTCTGGTCACGATTGCGGATACGCAAATACCCATCGGAAGAACATTTATAAATAAAGGGCCGTCCATAAATGACGTCACGCACCTGGGGGGGGAGGTCAGACATTTCTGACGATGTGTGAGGAGGGGGGGAGGTTGAGGAATGTAACGTCACATCAAAAAGCGCAACTTTAAATAAATATAGACAACACGTTCTACTTAATTAAATATACTTTTTTAATAAATGTTTTATCCTACAACATCAGAGTGCAGCGCCACATTAAATACGCACTACAATGACAATAGTTTAAAGCGATTTGAAGCATGTTTTTTTGGGGGGAGGGGTGAGAGCTTTGTGACGTCATATTCGAGGGGGTCTGACTTTTTGTGACGCCGTGTGACGAGGGGGGGCGGGTCAAAAATCGCGTGACGTCATTTATAGACAGTCCATTAAGCGTAGTTGCCATTTAACAAAGTTGTGGTGCTCATCTGTTGTGGAGTCGCCCACTTCTCGTGAGGACGGAACACAACGCAGAGCGTCATCTCATCGTCTAGCCGACCTGCCTCCCTCGTTACGATTCACGGGAGGAGAGGGACAGGGCGGTGCTGGGTAGACACACGTGCATGCTGTGTCAATTCATTTCGATTGCCCTGCTGTAATCAAAACCTCTCCACGCCCTGCGTGTTGTATTGACAGCTCGGAAAGGGACTACCAACACACTCTTCAACTTATCAACGTGCATCATGATTTGTAGATAAATGTGAACACCATCGTGAACAAAAATAAACATATAATGAGCACATCACTGAGTTCCTTGTCGATATTCTGGGAAGGTTCGTACATTTTGGAGACAGGGGGGGACAGGGAATGAACAGGAAAATCTGAAATGCCATAACTTACCAGCGCAACTAAATTTCTCTGAAAATTCTAATTGATGTCATGATTTAACTGAATATATCTACATTTAGGTATTGTTACCTCTGTATATTTGAGTGATTCCCCAAGCAACTGTTCTGGCCTCACATCGATGTGCCCAGGTGTTCAAGTTGAAACCGCTGTGTATATCGAGTTTGGCAATATTTTGACAGCCGGTTGCCCGTATTATGTTTAGTATATTGAAAATACCAAGCTGACTTAACATAATAGATACTTAGTTAAGTACAATATTAAACCGTGTTCAGGTGTTGAGGTTCATTTCATTACAGCCCATAAACCAATGATTTAGGCTGTAATGAAACCCTCCGAGTCTTCATGAAGTGACCCAACATCACGACTAGCTACACTTTCAGGAGAGAGCAGACAGTTAAGAGCCAGGCTCGTGAAGATAGGTCACAGATACGCGGATTCCCACAGGTACAGCCCGGAAAGTCATAATTGACATTACAGTAGTTAATGGGTTCATTAATGAGCCCGTTGAGCAATAACATCCCCACTAAGCAGGCATATGGACTAATTAGAATGCAAGATCTCAAATTGATACCCAGGGGCAATAGTAATGGATGATTGATTCTCAGTGACATCTCATTTTATTATGTTATGGAGGTTTGCATAATTGGTGCCAACAGTAAAACACTGCCTATTAATGCACTCTATATATAAAGCCACCATACATAATACATTCTAAGTTATGCATGCATTAAGACACTATATATTGAAAAAAAATAACGAATTCGCTGACATTATATACACCATTTTATATTTGTGCCATATACAACACGATGACTTTAAAAAATATTTTTTTTCAAAACTTTAGGTTGAAGCATTTAAAATGTATATAGTGATTTAAAAAAAATAACTGGAAACATGACCCAAATGCTTCTAATGCAGTCACCTCCCAACCCGAAGTGTATATATCACATTACGAGCTAATCCTCAGGGCAATGGGTAAATCCGCAGGGCGCTGCAGCACACACCAGGCAGCCGAGAACCTCCCATCGCGCCTTAAGGCTCACGGTCACGTGGTCCCCAAAACGCATATAAATCAGCAGATTCCACGAGCATCACTGATCTGTTCTCAGTTCAAGCAACGAAAACAAGGTGAGTTCTCTTCTATTTTTGAGCCATTGTTCGTCAGTTATTGTTAATATTATTAGTGAGCATTTGTACGCATTTTCACAAACTGTTTTTATTTGATAATTGTTTTTTCCCCTTTTATCTGGCAACAAAACAGGTGTTAAGTTGTTAAAACACCAAACTGAAACCTATTACAAGGAATAATGTCTGCATTAACCACAATACTCTTTGTGCTGTACGCCAAAAGGCGTACAGCACAAAGACATTGCACCATCAGAGTAATGAGAGCTTGGGGCGAGCAGCTACATCATGGGACCTCCTTTGCCAGTACCAAAATATAAAAGGTTTCAGTTTGGTGTTTAAACAACTTAACACCTGTTTTGTTGCCAGAAAAAAGGCGGAAAACCCTATTCTCATGTTTTGTTACTGGAAAAGGAAGTCCTATGATGTTTTTATTTAACAATGTTTTGTAACTTCAACAGGTACTGCGTGATAAGGTCTCAGGCTATAGACGCAGGAGCACAAGGAACGCAATTATGGAGAACAGAAGCTCCGTGCTCCACCTCGCCACATTTGAAGCCCCGTACCCTGTGGAGGTGCTCATATTCAGCCTGTGCCTTGCGATGTATCTAACTATAACTGCAGCCAATCTGATGGTGCTCGTGACGGTGGCAGTATCCACAGACTTACACAAGCCCATGCACATATTTCTGTGCAATCTCGCAATTGGCGACATCATTATCAGCACAGGTGGCTTGCCCAAGCAGCTGCAGGTCCTCCTGACGGGCAACAGAGAGATCCTGTACGTGTCATGTGTCGCACAGATGTTCACAATTCACATATCTGCCCTGAATGAGATTTTTACATTGGCTATTATGTCTGTTGATCGCTACGTGGCCATCTGCTACCCATTGCACTACCACACCAAGATTACTGCAAAGAGATCCATTTTTACGGCATTACTATCCTGGCTGATGGCAGCGGTTGCAGTCAGCATTCTAGTCATCCTTCAATTTTCACTGCAATTAAGCGAAAAAAACAGGCAAATCCAGGGCATAGTTTGTGATAATATGGGATTATTAAAGTTGGCTGTCGGTGACACGAGCAAAATGGATGTTGTCTCATCGTCAATGGTTGCAACGTTTGTTGTATTTCCTCTCTGTGTGGTTGCGTACACCTACGTTCGGATTTTTATTGAGTGCAATAATTCGAGCTCTGCGTTCAGGAGCAAAGCCCTGCACACATTCGGCACGCATTTCATGGCACTCGCTGTGTTTTTCACGTCAGTTTTTTTAGACATTCTTCTGCCGCGCTTTGTGAAGGATGCCGACAGCGAGGGCGTCAACTTGAGATGCGCCGCTCAGTTGGTGTTCTTGCTCAGCCCGATTGCGAACGTGCTCATTTACTGCCTACGCACCCTTGAGCTGAGGCTCGCAATTAATACGCAATTCAACAAGATATTGAGAAAGGTGCATTTCTGTCCAACAATCAAAGTGAATGTATCAGATCGTGGTTGAATGATGCTCTCCCATACAGCTGCAGAAACAATGAATGAATTTGTAATTTCCAGGCTAGACTACTGCAATTCTCTGTTATTCGGTCATCCTTTGTCTCTGATCCTATGTGTTCAGTATGTTCAAAACACAGCTCCAAGAGTACTCACTCATACTCGGAAGCGTCATAATTTTACACCCATTTTACAATCCCTGTGCAACTACCTATCCAGTCCAGAATCACCTTGAAGATCGCACTCGCAGATTTCAAATTTCTTCCCGGGCTAGCCCCTGCCTATCGTTCCCCTCCGATTTTCAGTTTACTCCCCTCCCCGGGTTCTCTGTCTTCTCTAGGTCTGCTCTCTACCTCCCACTTCACATCCCACAAATCAACTCTATATGATTAAAATTTGAACCGAAGGTAATTTTATTCATCAAGGCATACGCGAGAAAAAAAGTAAATCTCTTTTTGGACTGATTGATATAAATTCGTCGTTACATTTTGACACTCCACCACCCCTCCTGTGAAGGTTTCCTGGCTTAGTTGGGAAGTTGGGATTGTGTTAAGAATCAATGTCCTGCTCAATTTTATTGAAAAGAGAAGCGCATGACCTAATCGTACAGAATGTTGTGCTGGATGGTGCTTTGGTGGCTGACCACCATGCGTAAACTCGTGTTTGTAGGCTGTTGTAAAATCCAGGGTTGTGTTGCACTCCTATGCTCCCATCTCCAAATCCACCAACACGCAACTGACCAGCCTGGTGAAGTATGGTGAACCCATTCAATATAGCGGTCTCTCGGCTAGCAGTCGATTGACAAATTGGCTGCACATACACCGTAAGTCATACATATATTGCTCTCAGAGGGAATTCTAATCCCACCAACCCAGATTGTCCCCACACACACCCATACCTACTGTATTTGCCCACCACTACCTGTTGATTAAAGGTAATAAAAGCTTAGAATCAAATGCGTGGGGCAGGTAGCATATCTTTAGTGATGGCGGCCATAGGCCAACTAGGAAAGCATAAATGTGGTGCATTGCTTCAGTTTACTGTAGTTAAGTGAAAAAATATCTCTACACAAACACAGGAGTCATTTGCGTACATGAACATCGCATCGTGAGTTTGATTATACGTCCAAGTTGTGCTTCCATCACTAAAAACAGAGTACTATTCGTTCTTAAAAATGCAATTGCATTATATAACAAAATAGCATAATAATGCATTAACAAAGGGCACGAATTAGCTTAGCGTGAACGAAATGTGCCCTTTCCAATTGTGTTCGTCTGCAAATAATAAACAAACGTTTAAATGGCAATCAGTGGGCGACGCGCGCAGCAGCTTGTATTTCAATTGAGGTGGCATTTGGTTGCAGCAGGGTCAATCAAGGTACCTGAACACATCATGGATGTGTGCGCTACAGCGTCTGTCGTGTAAACACTCGTGCCCCACAGCAAGAAGGTCCTGAGTTGGATTCCCAACTCAAGCGTGGAGTTTGTTCTCCCCCCTGTTCTGGACGGGGTTTATTTTCTGAGCTCTCCAGTATTCCAGCTCAACAAAAAAAACACTCCTGCAACTTGGTTTCGGCCAAACATTCCGATGAAAAAAATTCACCCGCAAATTACTCCATTGGCATGAACGTGAAACGACTCAAACGACAAACTTTTATCACCACACAGTAACAAATACTGGGTCCGGACTTCACGCTTAGTTTTGAAGCTCGTGTCTTCCTTCTAACGTCCCGTCCCCTTGTGCTATGGCCCTTTAATATCTTTTGAGCAACCTTTCTCGAATGTTCCCTCACTGCCCCCCCCCCCCCCCCGTAGCCAATCCCCTGTCCTCCTACTCTAACGGATCCCAACCGTCGCCTCTGGGTTCCACTCTGTTTCCCGCCTATTCTCATTCAACAATTTCCTCCAGTCACTTCAAATGCCCTGCCTCCCGACTAATCACTGTGGAGGCCTTTTTCCGCTAATCGGAGACCTTGATCTATTTTTGAATAACCGTAAGGCTGTACATTGGCTTGCGGGTGAGTGTTTTTTCATTCATTTCGGTCATTACAAACGTAACAACATCGTCCCTTACTGCGATAGTTTTTGTCAGGATTCTCCTAAGGAGTATTGAGACTCGGTGAGGCCATCCCTGGTAAACGAGCAGATTAACAATACAAATGTTAATGTGTTGGACCCAGAGGAAGCACCCAGACATTGTCCTCATTAAGCGTGGGGACAGCGACCATGGCCAGACACAGTACGGGCAGAGACGGTAGCCCCTTGAGACCCTGGGACCGGCTGTCTGTGTCTCATCCCAATCCCCAATCCTGGCGAGTCAAGTTTGGACAAGGGACAACTGAAGAGGCTCGTCCAGCACCACCGTCGGTATATATTATTCTTCCAAAACTCGTTACAAAATATCAAAATTACTTGTTTTATTCTCTATGTATTTGTTTAACCTCTCTCATTGCAATGCAATGCACATGTAGCCGGTGAGAGCTTCCCTGTAATGAATCGCACGTATAATTGTGTACTCTGCTACGTGTTGCTGTAATTTCTACGGAGAGCGAGGTGTGGTTTTTTTCTCATTAGTGTAGGCAATGACGATCAGAGAAAGGACCCCAAGCCGTAGCTGCATAGCAGGCCACGTCCAGCAGTGTGTAGACTATTCTGAGAACGGGGCACACAACCAGTTCAGATTTGGGGTGAACTGCGTGCTGGTGAGATTACATGAGCTCTGATAAAATAACAAACGTAACTTAAATTAATATAACTTCAATGTTAATCGACAGACAGGAACTCGCCTATGTTAATTGACTGTTTATTGAATCATTGGTGGTGATAAAGATATTCACAAGACTTCGATATTAAAATGCATTTAAATGTTTAAAATGCTCAATTGGGGCTGGAATATGATTAACACTGGTGCTTAATCCCATCCACAGAGGGACTGAGCTGAGGTGTTGTGTGACGTGGGGGGGGGGGGGTGATCGGGGTGTATCTGGTCATGATTGAAAGTTGTGATCTGTAAACGTATTTAGAGTTACAACATACATGTTAACCCCTTATCAGTGCCCTATCTTATCACAGACCAATTCAGATTTTATTGGTCACCCCGTGCCCTTATACATCTCAACATTCATTCTACAGTCCAAACACAAACAAATAGACAAAAAACATTCCTACACCACATCACGCACACGCTACCAGCTGGATCTGAGATGGGAAGTTTATTGTTTTTCACACACACACGGTTATTCTGTCATTGTGATTCTGATGCGTACCTGTTAACCCCTTAACAGTGCCTAGTTTATTACAGACCGGATTGGTCACCCCGTGCTTTTATACATCTACAAAGTCCCATCACAAAGGAGAAACACAAACCAATAGACAAATAAACGTAGTTTTTTTCCCCGCATTGAAACGGCTGTACACCGTATGGATCTGAAAACTATATTTCTCTGTACAAGAATACGGGTAAACCGTATAAGTTGTCTGCTATGTTACAGTGTATTGTTTGCCTTCTATATTTTTTGTGCGGGAAATTTAATACGATAGCGTCGCCCTCGTGGTGACAGCTATTTATATTCACGGGTGTCAATAACTCACTTATTTTGGTAAATCCAAATCGAATCAATAGACGTAACGGAGTTGAAAGATTATTATAGTGTTTTAATGATGGTCATGATTGCAAGTTGTGAGCTGTACACTTCCTGAGAGTTACAGTGGTATTGTTTGACGGTTTTTTTGCGCGGGGTATAACTTGTTTATTTTTACCAATCCAACTCGATTCTATAGACGTCACGGAGCTGACAGATGATTGGAGCAATAAAGTATTAAAGCTTTCGTGACTGCATAAAATTTCTCATTGTTTTTTTCGGCAAAGTCACGTATGCAGAAATACAATAAAATTATATTGAAACAAAAAACAATCACGAAGTTTCGATCACAACGCAAGCGATCTTCATCAGGTGTCAAGAACAAATCACAGAGGAAAATACAACAAAAAGATGAGAGACGAGAATTCAACAAACCTGAAAAAACATTACGTGAAGCACATCCAGTCAGGCAAACAACACACTTCCTGGCGGACCACGAATTTCAGAAGAGTGTTAAATTTCGTGTTCAACCTTTGGATTGCACATACCAGCATAGATAGAATGAAAAATACGAGGTACACGGTCAGTAGAAATACATATACAAGTCCACCAAGAGGTAAGGAGGGAGGAAAGACGGACAGGGAGGCAGATAGAGAGGGGGGGGCGGAGGGATGAACAGAAGCTTAAATAGGAAATACGGTTGGAGGGGGGAAGGGGCCAGAGCGAGAGCGGCAGCTCAAACACGCACATCTTACACATACAAAACGGCAGCTCAAAAAAGGACCGCCTCCTGTAAATACAAAAAGGCAGCTCAAAAAAAGACCACCTCTTGTAAATACAAAACGGCAGCTCAAAAAAGGGCACATCTTACACGTAATTACAACGGTAACTTCCCCGTAAAAGTGTGATAATAAAGTATTAAAGCTTTCGTGACTGCATAAAATTACTCATTGGTTTTTTCGGTAAAGTCACGTATGTAGAAATACAAAAAAATTATATTAAAACTAAAAACAATCATGACGTTTCGATCACAATGCAAGCGATCTTCATCAGGTGTCAAGAACAAATCACGGAGGTAAATACAACAAAAAGATGAGAGACGAGAATTCAACAAACCTGAAAAAACATTATGTGAAGCACATCCAGTCAGGCAAACAACACAGTTAGACACTTCCTGGCGGACCACGAATTTCAGAAGAGTGTTAAATTTCGTGTTCAACCTTTGGATTGCACATACCAGCATAGATAGAATGAAAAATACGAGGTACACGGTCAGTAGAAATACATATCTGCCTCCCTGTCCGTCTTTCCTCCCTCCTTACCTCTTGGTGGACTTGTATATGTATTTCTACTGACCATTTACCTCGTATTTTTCATTCTATCTATGCTGGTATGTGCAATCCAAAGGTTGAACACGAAATTTAACACTCTTCTGAAATTCGTGGCCCGCCAGGAAGTGTCTAACAGTGTTGTTTGCCTGACTGGATGTGCTTCACGTAATGTTTTTTCAGGTTTGTTGAATTCTCGTTTCTCATCTTTTTGTTGTATTTACCTCCGTGATTTGTTCTTGACACCTGATGAAGATCGCTTGCGTTGTGATCGAAACGTCGTGATTGTTTTTTGTTTTAATATAATTTTATTGTATTTCTACATACGTGACTTTACCGAAAAAAACCAATGAGTAATTTTATGCAGTCACGAAAGCTTCAATACTTTATTATCACACTTCTACGGGGAAGTTACCGTCGTAATTAAGTGTAAGATGTGGCCTTTTTTGACCTGCCGTTTTGTATTTACAAGAGATGGTCATTTTTGAGCTGCTGTTTTGTATTTACAAGAGGTGGTCCTTTTTTGAGCTGCCGTTTTGTATGTGTAAGATGTGCGTGGTTGAGCTGCTGCTCTTGCTCTGGCCCCTCCCCCCCTCCAACCGTATTTCCTATTTAAGCTTCTGTTCATCCCTCCGCCCCCCCCCGCCCCCTCTCTATCTGCCTCCCTGTCCATCTTTCCTCCCTCCTTACCTCTTGGTGGACTTGTATATGTATTTCTACTGACCGTGTACCTCGTATTTTTCATTCTATCTATGCTGGTATGTGCAATCCAAAGGTTGAACACGAAATTTAACACTCTTCTGAAATTCGTGGTCCGCCAGGAAGTGTCTGTGTTGTTTGCCTGACTGGATGTGCTTCACGTAATGTTTTTTTCAGGTTTGTTGAATTCTCGTCTCTCATCTTTTTGTTGTATTTACCTCCGTGATTTGTTCTTGACACCTGATGAAGATCGCTTGCGTTGTGATCGCAACGTCGTGATTGTTTTTTGTTTTAATATAATTTAATTGTATTTCTACATACGTGACTTTACCGAAAAAAACAATGAGATGATTGGTGTGTTTTAATGATTAAAATTTGTTTTGTGATAATTGATAACAAGTGATGTGATTTTGTTGTTCATTGGGAATGCACACGATGGCCGACTTAGAACTTAAATGTAACATTAAGCTCACAGGGTGCGCAAAATGTGTTTTGGCAGAGTTTATGTTTATTGTCAGTTAAACATGATTTCCATAATTTACACATTCATATAATTAGATAGAAAAAAATGCTTTATTATACATATATAAACACCAAGCTCTGACATTCTGTCACTCTGTGACTGTGATTAACGCGGCACGGATTGAAGTGCGTCACGTGACCGCAAGCAAGCAGCCAACCAGAGGTGCGCCCCTCCCAATTATGTCTGTCCCCGGATTGGTTGAAGTGTGTCACGTGACCCCGAGCAACAGACGGGTGAGTGAGAGTGAGGAGACGGGTGACAGTGAGGAGACGGCTGAGTGAGAGTGTGGAGACGGGTGAGAGTGAGGCAGAGCCGTGCTCCGTCCACGGCTACCCTGAGGGACCCCCGTGCTCTCCACTGCTGACTTGAGGGAGAGCCGCGCTGTCTCCACTGCTGCCCTGAGGGAAAGCCGTGCTCTGTCCACTGCTGCCCTGAGGGAGAGCCGCGCTATCTCCACTGCTGCCCTGAGGGAGAGCCGCGCTCTCTCCACTGCTGCCCTGGGACAGAGCCATGCTCGGTCCGCTGCTGATGAAATTTTTCTCGTTAAATGTTTGTTAAATAATGTACGTCAAATGTTCAAAGATATGATATGCGGTTGTTATCATCATTGAGATTTGGGTGGACTCCGTGCTGAGGGACAGAGCTGAGGTTTTGTGTGACGTGGAAGGTGATAGGTTGTGTCTGGTCACGATTGTGAATATGCAAATACCCCTTGGAAGAACATTAATAAATAAAGGGCCGTCCATAAATGACGTCACGCACCTGGGGGTGGGGGGGTGGTCAGACATTTGTGACGGGGTGTGACGAGGGGGGGAGGTTGAGGAATGTGACGTCACATCAAAATGCGCAACTTTAAATAAATATAGACAACACGTTCTACTTAGTTAAATAGACTTTTTAATAAATGTTTTCTCCTACAACATCAGAGTGCAGCGCCACATTAAATACGCACTACAATGACAATAGTTTAAAGCGATTTGAAGTATGTTTTTTGGGGGGGAGAGCTTTGTGACGTCATATTCGAGGGGGGTCTGACTTTTGTGACGCCGTGTGACGAGGAAGGGGGGGTCAAAAATCGTCCAAAATCGCGTGACGCTATTTATGGACGGCCCCTGACAAAGCTGTGGTGCTCATCTGTTGTGGAATCGCCCACTTCTCGGGAGAACGGAACACAACGGAGAGTATCATCCCATCGTCTCCGAACTTTCATTTTTGCTGGTAAATTTAGCCGACCTGTCTCCCTCGTTACGATTCACGGGAGGAGAGGGACAGGGCGGTGCTGGGTAGACACACGTGCATGCTGTGTCAATTCATCTCGATTGCCCTGCTGTAATAAAAACCTCTCCACGCCCTGCGTGTTGTATTGACAGCTCGGAAAGGGACTACCAACACACTCTTCAACTTATCAACGTGCATCATGATTTGTAGATAAATGTGAACACCATCGTGAACAAAAATAAACATATAATGAGCACATCACTGAGTTCCTTGTCGATATTCTGGCAAGGTTCGTACATTTTGGAGACAGGGGGGGGACAGGGAATAAACAGGAAAATCCGAAATGCCATAACTTACCAGCGCAACTAAATATCTCTGAAAATTCTAATTGATGTCATGATTTAACTGGATATATCTACATTTAGGTATTGTTAACTCTGTATATTTGGCATTGTTGAGACCTCAACAGATGAACGGAAGGGAGTGATTTCCCAAGCAACTGTTCTGGCCTCACATATCGATGTGCCCAGGTGTTCAAGTGAAACTGCTTTTTGTATCGAGTTTTGCAATGTTTTGACAGCCGGTTGCCCGTGTTATCTCTAGTACATTGAAAAGACCAAGCTGACTTAACATAATAGACTAGGTTGTTAGGGGGCTCACCCGGCCCCCTCGGCTCCATCGGCTCCCTCCATCGGCTCCCTCGGCTCCCCCGGCCTCCTCACAAACGGCCCCACCAGCCGCTGCTGGGAGCGCACCCCGGGAGCGCGAGCCTCAGGCGGCCATCAGAGGAGAGCACGGGGCTCCCTCAGGGCAGCAGTGGTCGTAGCACGGCCCTGCCTCAGGGCAGCAGCGGAGAGAGCACGGCTCTACCTCACTCTCACTCACCCATCTCCTCACGCTCACTCACCCGTCTCCTCACTCTCACTCACCCGTCTCCTCACTCTCACTCACCCGTCTCCTCACTGTCACCCGTCTCCTCACTCTCACTCAACCGTCTCCTCACTGTCACTCACCCGTCTCATCACTGTCACTCACCCATCTCCTCACTGTCACTCACCCGTATCCTCACTGTCAGTCAGTCGTCTCCTTACTCTCACTCACCCGTTTGTTGCTCGCGGTCACGTGACGCACTTCAACCAATCCGGGAGCGTACATGTTTGGGAGGGGCACACCTCTGGTTGGCTGCTTGCTCGTGGTCACGTGACGCATTTCAACCAATCCGTGCCGCGTTCATCACAGTCACAGAGTGACAGAATGACAAAGCTGGTTGTTTATATATGTACTAGCGGGAAGTACCCGGCGTTGCCCGGGCGAAAAATATATTTCAAAACTTCTCTTAAAAACCTTACATATACAGTACATACACAGACACTAAGGTATTGTGAAAGCCTGGTGGGCCGTTTGTCCATTTCTACACAAACAAAATTATAAGAAGCTTGCACAAGTCCACGAAGTTATAGAAAGTGGGGGGTAAATAGTTGATCTAAAAGGTTTCCAAAAATTGTGG